GTCTTTAAAAAAAAAAAAAAAGAAAGAGAAAAACAAAGCCAGGTAAATAGTAAGTGCTCAATTAGTATTAGCAGGAAGAGTATTTTTGCTGCCAGGAAAAAGGATGATGCATCAGAAGAGATCTCTGCTTCAGGCTCTGATGGTTCCATGGGAAGTAAGTTCTGTTTTAAGATAATACAGTGAAATGGGGATACCAGCTAAGGGAATAAGGGTTAAGGCACATTATGAACCTAGTATTATAGACTGTATATTTATTTTCTCCCTACATTTACATGCTGAAAACCTAACCCCCAATGGGATGGTATTGGAAGGTGGTGCTTTTGGGCTGGAGTGGGTCAGGAGAGAGAATCCTGTGTAATTTCTGTGATTTAAAAGTCATCCCTTGAGTAAAATTATACTTCTTGTACAACTGAGTTCATGGAGTAAGACTCATAAGTATAGTTGACTTTATAGTCATTTAATGGGATATCTATGAGGGGAGAGATTCAATCTGTTTTGTGATGATCCTAAATGCACAACCTGAAACCAAAGATTGAAGGTTTCGTGTGGCAGATATGACTTCATATCCCACATGGTTCCTAACCATTCAGGCTTTCCCACAATAAAGTGCTGATTTCTATTGCCAGGTACTGATTTCTCACCACTAGAATCATTGATAATCCTGTGCTCATGGTATCTCCCCTGCCGGGTAAGTATACATTTATGATTCTGGATGCCAATAGGCAGAGATGCTGTGGAAAGATTCCCATAAAGCCTAGATGACATTCCCCATGCTGTTGCATTTCCCAAGACTGTTTTGATTTGGACAATTTCCTAAACAACACTTTGAAATCTGTAAATTTCCTAAATTCTTATGTCTACCATATTAAAGTATTGTGTTTTAACCTGTATTTTAGTCTATCCCATTGCTAATATAAACTAATGTGTCTCATTATGAATTATAATTGCTTTATTTTTGCATTTATAAATGTCTCATCAATATCCAAACTACATATGTACTTTTGAAACATCCTTTATTGAGTATCTATTATGTGAAATGTACTGTGCTAGAATGATGCATGGTAAACATAAAGATACTGCTCCTCTCCATAAAGAATTATAGACTGGTTGGGAAGATAAGCAACACACACACACATTGTACATAAACATCAGACTAATGAGTAATGCTAACAGTATCCCTAACAGGAGTTTGGTGGAGGTGCAATCACCCAGTGGGTTCACCTTACCTGCTGCCTAGGCAGGCTGATTTATCACGACATGGGAATTGCAATTGTGAAAGAGTAATTCATGCAGAACTGGCTGTGTGGGAGACCAGAGTTTTATTATTACTCAAACCCATCTCCCTGAAAACTTGGGGATTGGTGTGTGTGTGTGTGTGT